CTACCGATTTGTTTGGTGTCGTTCAGATCGTCAAATTAAGAATCTGTACGGTAATAATTTTTCTTTCATGTACTGTTTTGTGAATTTATTCCAGTTATAGTTTCGGTTTTCATAATTAATTTTTCATAAGTTGATGTGTGTGAGTGTAAGAGAGAATCTTTCTGTGCAATATGACTGGAAAGCGGAAGAGAGTAATTGCACCTTTGTAAACAAAAGTGAATACAATTAAGAGGTTGGACAAGGGTGAATCAATAAAGAAGGTTTCTTCCAGATTTAGATGTCGGAGAAGTAGCTGTTGGATATTGGAAGCGTAAGCGGAATGAAATCGAACAGTGGATAATGAATATACCCTTTATGGGAAAGATAAGGAAGATGCTGTTTTGTTTTAACATTTCCAAGTATTGAAAATAGATGTAGAACACTAAACAAATGTATTTATTGTTACGTGTGGAACGTCATGCAGTTACTTTCCGGAAACCTCATAATTCATTAACCCAGCTTAGATCAGTTCCCTGCATAGATAATTTTACATTTTTCTTGGCAACAAGGCTATTGAATTTATATTTATTTTTAGTCGGTAAACCAAAACTTTCCGTCACTAAATCAATTTCTTCTTTATTTTGAAATTCACTCTGTAAAAAGCTCATTAGCTCGCTCAATCTTGTTTCTAAAGTTGTAACTTCTGCAGTTTCTCCGATATTTTCCATGGACACGGAAACAAGATGTAATAGTCGAATCATATGTTCTGGCAAACGTGACTCAATAAGAGGATACAATATCACCGCAAATTTGTCAGCAGGTTTTGTCTAAGGTCTCAAGTGAAAGAACCTCTAAATAATTTTTTAACTCGATTGGAAGTAATTTAAATTTGCGCTTACCTTTTACACTTGATGACTCAAAGTACCTTGCACTGTATTTATCAGTTGCCTCTATCTCACTGATTAACTATTCTTCGGAAGCTTCTTCGAATATACTTTTAAGTACCGCACTTTCCACTTCACAAAGCTCATAGTAGTTTACTTGTAAGAATTACAAGTAAAGCTAACAAACTGTCCAAAACATTAGCAATTTTCGTAAATGCACTATCCGAAGTACCGCTCTGCGTTTTCTATCTGATTTCATGTTCCGACGGTAACTTTGGCCGACCCTCACGGCAAAAACAAAACTATTCGCCGGAAAAAAGTTTGCACTAATATAGGCGAAAACAACTAACTTCCCGTATATAAGTCCTGTCATATCCCGCAGTTATCTTTCGCGAAATAATACAAAATTAAATTTTAAGTACAAAAAAATTTACTTTTGTATTAAATTACACAAGTGTAGGTTTTATAATACAGCTTGCTTGGTTGTAAAAATTCGACTAAATATATGTATGCAATTTTGCAATTCTAATACATATTATTAATATGATACATGATACCGTTGATTGAATAACCCAAATTTGGATTATGCAATCAACGATGATACTCATCAATACATTCTCAGACGGAAAAGTCGTAAAATTTAATTATCTTACACCAGCACTTAGCGGATGTGCTGATTAGGGATTTTTTAAGTAAACATATTAATACTTGACATTTTTTTTGCTAATACATTATACACAAAACGTTCATTCATTTGGAAATATTTACGACAATTCTGAATTCTTTATCTACCCAAAAATATTTATTCCAAACTGAAAAAGAAATTTGCAATTGTTTGAAAATCTAAAATACGTTTACTTTTTTTCATATCGAATGTTAAGCAGTAGAAGTTTTTACCTACTTAGAAAATTTCAGATTTTCATCTGATTTCTAATTATGACTCAAGTAAATTTCAATAGTCTTTTTCATTTACGGAAATAATTAATCGACAAAATTTAATCAATGATTACATTATATTGTTTTGTCTATAAAAATTAAATTTGCCAAAACGTGAATGAAACTGTAATTACTGGTATACTTGTATTTTTAAACACTGTGACGTTATGCAATCATGATTGATAATTGACAGTCAAACGAAGCCAAAATATTAACTGGTAGGGGCCGCTTTGCTAAACACAACCACGTGATTCGTATTACCATGGTTACTGCACAACAAATAGACAATTGGCATAACCACAAAACTAGGTTTCAATGTTTTGCAGATTTTTCTTAAATTTGGCAAACACGCATTTGTCGCTATTTAATACATCACTTGCTGCCTTCTACTAAATGACACGTGAACTTATTTTCACATCTATTAAGTGATAGCGGAACTAATTTCTCACTAGCAAAATGCCAACTTATAACGGTGACATCAACAAAATCCCTAGTTTGCAGCTTTTAATTGTAATTTTATCTTTAGGTACAGTTAATTTAAAAATTACGGCAGTATGGATAACGAACATTCGCTTAAAATAAAGGTTTTTGGATAGTTAATCATTTAAAGTAGTTATTTTGTACCTAAGTTCAAAAATTATTACACAATACCAATTTTTAGGCACGTTACCACGTAAGTTATGACATGGATTCATTTAAGTACAGTTATAAAAAAATTACTGCTTTCTTTGGAAATTTTAACTAGATATCATTAAAATAGAAAGTTTACAGTTTACGTACATAGTCATAAGTTGAAGATTGGTTTTGAAATAGTGACGATAACTGTACCTAAAAAGTATACAAATTTAACATTGTGACATACCACCTTAAGTTACCGGTATTTTTGATAAAAAATATTAATGATACATTATTTTAACAACGAAAATGTATACTTGTTAATAACTTCAAAACTCAACAGTTTTCGATAATCGCATTTTACAAATCAACTGCATAATTCTGATTTAACGCAATTACTCCAGGTAATGAAAGAAAAATAGATAAAAACATCAATAATTCTGAATTTTGTTATATTCGCTGTGAGCCGATGAGTAGAGGGGATTTGACAGTTTTCACCAACGCTGTTAGTGGTAGTTTTGTGCATTTAACTTGTAAACATTCAAATATTGGCGAATATGGATTTTTCAAAAAAGAAAAAGATATAGCAGCTGTTGTATTGATACATGTAAAAATACTGGGTATAAGTGATTGTAAATTTTATTCATTTCCTGTTGCCAAGCATAAAATATGTAGTTCAAAGAGAAAAATGGATTATTGCTATCAATAAGATTTTTGGTGTAGCTGGTTAAAATGGGATATCATGTGATATAGACTTAAAACCAGTATAATGTTTAATATCCATTTTGATAAAATTAAAATAGATTTATATCTAAGCACTAAGGCCTACGCCAACAAAAAATAACAGCAAAAACAGAATGAAAATGCAAAATGAAAACAAGAATTACAACGTTACAAGCATGATACTATGACTAAATAGATAGGATCTTCCCGTAGCACAAAATCGGTCGTGTTCACGGCATGCCGTCATTGGAGAGTAGAATTTGAATTCTTGTTAAAGTTAAATGGGATTTGTATGCATTCTGTGATGAAATTACTAGTCGAAGATAAGTTAAGAGGTTTAATAATTACAATAATCATACACATAAGGATATCTCCAAACTATTTATTAAAGATATATTTATTGGTACACAGAAAAAACTGACATTTCGAACGTGCAACTCTCCAATGACGTCACGACTTATGCGTTATCTTATCTTCTGTCATAGTATCATGGTTACGAGAGGTAAAGGTAACCTTTAACCATTAAATATTTTCACATAAACTTCTTCTTTTTCTCGATGGCCTCTTACGGAAGTAGTCATCCAGTCGCAGGAACTTATATCTTAAATATTAAAAATTATAATGAATAAAATAAAAAGGCGTAATTACTTTTTACTATTAATTCTGTATATTCGTTCAGTAAATCAGTTTACAATAATATTTTAGTTCATAATTTTGTATTTTTAGATAAATATCTATTTTTCTTGTTTTGTCATATTTCACTTACACCGATTTTACAAGAAAAGTACAAGTTTCAAACCGCGAGATAGCGCTACCGGCGAAGCACACAGCGAATAATACCTTTAATAAGGTTAATAGTTAACGAAATATTAAATAAAATAATATACCAGCTGAATAATTCATAATAAAATTTGATAAAGTAACAGAATAATTGGATTTTACATCAAACATTTTACGTTTTGTATTAAATTAAAGTCACAATCAAAACATTTTATTTACAAATCTATTTGATCTATTTAATGGAATCATGTTTTATTATTTTTTTATATTCTATTATATAATCCAGTAATGTAATCAGATGTTCCTTAAATATATTGAAGTTAAGGGAAAAACTATACTGATTCTGATATATAAATCTTTAGTTGAATCTCTTTTTCAGCATGGTTTACTTGTTTGGAGGAATTTATAATAATCCATTACATGCATTATCCTTAATTCAAAATAATTTAAAAAATGGAAATTGTATTCAACCCATTATTAATATAGTGTATTAACATGTTTTAGTCACATGTATACACAAGAAAGAATGTACTTTTAATTTAATATAGTAATGCTATTCTACTACATATATTTAGCTCCAATAATATTTTATGATTTCTGTAACTCTGCAGGTACTTATGTCCCACATTTTTTAAAGATTGAATGAAAAAAATAATTATTAAAAGTCCAAACGTAGTTTTTTCAATATACATAGATTAATATAATTACAATCATTGCTGCTTTTCGAGTTCATTTCAAGGAGTAAAGAGAATTAATTTGAATGTAGCATTCTCAGTGACGTCATTCCTGCCGTTAGATTCTCGACGCTAATTGGTGTAAAGTTACCAGACTACCTGTCTATTTTTAATAACCTTGGGTTCTGACGACGTAAATCTTGAATGACGTGAAAGCTTTTTTATATGAAAAATACTATAATTTACATTTTACATGTTTACATATTTTATACATTCTAACCACGGAACGTTTCTTTGTGTCTTATTCTGTGACCCCATGAAATTGTCATAGTAATGTCAAACATATGATCAAAATGACAGATCAGTAATCTCAATCTGGTTAATTGTGTGTCACTTGTGTCAGTGTCAAGTTAACATCTTCTTTTGACACGTAGGAAATAATTTCCTCTCGGAAATTAAGCAGATCCATATTTTCGTAACATATTTAAATTTGTATTATATTAGGATAGTTATTAAACATATATGAAGTTTTATTTATAAATATTCCAACAAATAGTTTCAATATAATGGCAAGTCCAAGAACAAGACGTGTTTTACAAGAATTAAAACCCAGTAATGAAAATGATGTAAGTAAACTTTATTATTCACCAAAAAATATTAGGCGCAGGGATATTTGTAAAATTTAAGTAACTTTAAAAATATAAATTTCTACCATATGGTAAGTTTTGGTAAAGTATAGATTATGAGCATAATTTCTACTCCATTCCAATGTTCTACTTTTACTTTTATTTACTATATGATGTTAGTCTTTTATGTGTGAAGGTTCTGTTCTTTTCAAGGTTTATAATAGTACTTACTGTATATTCCTTACAAAATTCAATGTTTTGAATATCTTGTTTATAAATTTATAGTGTTTATTTTAAATTAATTTTATTAATAATTAAATAATTTTAAAATTAACTTATTTAATTTAATTTGCAGAGTTTGTTAAGTACTGCTGAAGCTCTTGGATTTTTTGAATAGTGTTTAATTTACTTTCTCTTTTTGAAAATACTTTATTGTCTGCTGTAGCATTTCTGTTCTTTCTGTATTTCCGTTTCCTTTTTACCCCAATCTTCTCTATCACATTTGCTTCAAATTCCAGAACTCCAAACTGTAAATTTTTTTATCAGATTTACTCTCTTCTAGTACAAAAATTACCTTTTAAATACAGTCATTTTACTGTATTTAGTTATTAATACTGTTAGGACTTAAGTAAATATACATATAATTTAAGTAGTATTGTTACTGGTTTTACTGAGTAATTACAGAGTAATTTTACCTCATTTAATGAGGGTTACAATTTCTTACTGTATTGAAATTTTTTGCAGTGTACATTTCGTGATCATGTTTTTGAGTTATTCATCATTCACGTGTGTTCACTAAAATAACCTTACTTACAATAAACTTTCAGTCACCTTTCTTCAGTAAAAGCACAATCATTCTAAAAACCAACAAACATTGAATGTATCTATAGCTTGGTAGTTGTTGCTGCTGTAGTTTAATTCCCTATTTCAAAGGATAATTTACTAGTTAACTTTCACTGCCCTAGGTTCTGTCTGGTCATTGTACTACTTTGTCATTACATTCTTCCAGTTTTATGTTTTCTTCTCTTTTGTTGCTTTCTTTGGTGTTGTCATATTGCTTTTTAACACCCCTTAGGATACTTTTTCTTTTTTACATTCAGGTATTTTTTCAATTACTGTAATTTAAAAAGAAATGGTCACAAACAGGAAAAAAATCAGGAGATATATCAAATCATAAGGTCTCTCAACTGTATTTAAAATATATATTTTATCTATATATAATATATTAAAATTATATTTTATCTATATTTTATGTAATTTATCTGTTAATTAGATACATACAGTAGGTACTGTACAACATACAAAATTTTGTTAAATAAATTTTCTGCATACTACCAGAGGTATATGACAGTGGAAAGTGAATGATTAACCCTTCCCAAATTCTACGTCACTGGTGGAATTCTTATTTTAGCACAATTTTTAGATTCATCAATACTTTATATTTCAATAACATACTCTTTATTCATAATAAATTTTTCAAGATATTTGAAGTTAAAAATGAATTGGCACAGCTATTTTGATTAATGGATTAATTATGTCATTGGGTTATAGGTTTGCATTTATTACACAAATAAAATTTGAGTTGATATTAACAAAAAAACATACCTAATGTTTTTTATTGAAATTTATTGAAAGGAATAGTTGAATATAACATTTAAAAACAAATTGTGGTTAAATTTTGTCTTAATCTAAATAAAAGAACAATTTTAATAACAAGAAAATATTACATAAAAAAAACACATTTTAACTACGCCTTTTATAACAAATGTTCAATGTGATGCCCATTCACCTCAATAAGCTTATCAATTATTTTTTGTAAATAATTTAAAAACATTTTGTAACAAATAAACTGTTCTCTACATTTATTTACAATTTTATAATCAGGTTAATAAGACTTGAAGCATTTCTCCACTCCACATCATATAGATAAATGCTTTTGCTTTCATGGTATTAAAGGGCTTACAACATATTGAAAATAAGTTCAGGTGTTATAGTTGGTTCTGGATTGAATTAATCGTTTTGATCTAGTAGGATGCTGTCATTTCTGTTAGTTGTTGTTATTATCACTAAATATTCTGATTGTTATAGAATTTATAAAGCTAATTTAGTGAAAATGCTGCGGCATAACGATTTTATTAATATTGAAATGTGGGATATGCTGTGTGTTTATGTACAAGAAAATGATTGAAAAATAATTAAAATTATGAGAAATGTATCTACAGATGACAGGTTTCAATGCAATCGCCAAATTTTCAGTAATATTTTTAGTCAATTAGAAGATGCTGGACTATTTCAGCCTAAAGGTGATGTAGGACTACCTAAAATTTCAACAGTTGATCAGGAGGATGATATTTTAGTTTGAGTTGCTAATAATACTGAATTAAACACTCTGCATTTATTTGAAATGACTGGAGTAAACCACTGTTCAGATTTATGAGTACTGAAAAAAGAAAAAGGAAAAATTTTTCTATTTCTAACTGTACCTTTTTACTATGGAAGATAATGAGGCTGTTTGTTCAGATTCGACATTAGTTACTGAAACAGTATTAGATAAAGATGCTTGGGTATCAATTTTTCATTATAACTCAGCTATTTTGCTTTCTAAATTAGATATTTATTTCGTTTTGTTGTTGTACTATTTTATTTTCTAAATCGGTTTTTATATCGTTCTGTTGTTTTTCTAATTTGTCTATTCTACTAGTAATTTGACTTACCTCTAACTGAAAATTTTCGTGAATTTGAGATAAACTTTTTATGATTTTCACCTCTACTTTTATACGCCTCTCCTCCTCTTCCTCTTCTTGCCTGCGTTTCTCTTCCTCTTCTTTTATTTCGGAATTTTTCGATAACATCTCGAACATTCTAGATTTTTAATACTTCTTTTTCGTCAATGGACTTTTTCTATATGGAATAAATCTTGCGGAACTGTCGTAACAGTATTTTGTAAAAAGGATTATTTTTCTTAAATTTCTCTCGTCCTATTTTGTACATAGGCCTCTCCCAACTCCTTCCATCGATCTCTATCCTGAGCAACATACTTCCGATTTATTCAGACTATTTTTTTGATGTCGCCCACCCATCTCATTTGTGGTCTTCCCTCTTGTTCGTCTACCGTTGTAAGGTCTCCAATGTTGGTTTTTTTGTCTAGCAGTGTGACCTGCGAAACTCCAATTTTGGCAATTTTTGTTGTAATATCCTCAACTTTTGTTTTTGATCTTACCCAGTCGTTCGTCTTTAACTCTTTAAAAAGGATTACCTTCTTTTATTTCATTTGTATTCACATTTTGAGATTAATATTTTGTTTGATATTTTTAATTTTTAGAGTCTAACCTATTTCATTAGAATCGTGTAGGATTGAAAATCCCTCGCGTGATTTAATAGCAACAAATTTTGAAAACAATCAATTTTATGAAAAAATGGAAATCTAAAGTTTTGTGATGTTTTTATATGATTTCAAAGTTGGAATAACTAAACAACAATGCTTTGATCGAATTGGACACAGTTTTTCGTGACAAATCACCAGACTTACTAACTGTTCACAAATAATTTAAGCATGTGGATGCACCAGCCTCAGTTATAAATTCTGTCAAGACCATCCGGCCATAGCTCTTGTCCTGGAAAACATTCACGCTGTGTGCGGCATGATTAAAGCAGATCGACTATTGTTAACTACTATGAGATTTGTGTGATCATTGGGCATAGGCATTAGTCAAATGCAAACAATTTTGCATACCCATTTGGAAGTGAGGATGATGTGCAGTCGTTGGATTTATAATTTGACTGCTGTCCAGAAGAAGGCATGAGTTGATTGGTGCTGTGTCACACCCTAACGATTCAATGAATTCACCTTAAATTTGGTATATGGAACATCATGGTTGGTGAGGAAACATAGATATACTGCTATGAACCCGAAACAGAAAACTAATCAGCGGTATGGTCTTTCAAGATCGATAACCAAAGTAGTCTGCGCTCGCAGCGTCGACAAAAAAATGCTCACGATTTTTATTTAATAGGTACATGCTGTCATGACTGAGTTAGAGAATGGTAGAACCGTCAATGCTGAGTAGTATACCACCATTTGTTTGCTAGAAATGATTGATGATGAAGTCCGAAAAACAACCAGAATCGTCGCATTAGAGCAATGTCAGCTCTCACATGGCTGTTATACTATCCGAGTAGGCGAGAAACATCGATCTGTTGGGCCCTCCTACATACAGTCCTGTATTGAAACCGTGTGATGTCTTTGATTTCTCGGGAATCAAAAACAAAGTATTATATTCTCTAAAGTTTTATTTAAAAATTCTTTATATAAGGTATATAATTAAAAAGACTCTTTCGGGCTACATCGCAGAACGTTTTCGAACTAAAAAGTCCATGATCAGTATATTACCAGGTGTACATGAATCAAGCCACTATATATTTGGGTAAAAACCCTTAAAATGGTACAAAATGTATTATTTGTACTAATTTTGTTAAAAAGATGGTGTGATGTTAAAGTTTTTAACAGTTGCCATCTAGAGCCCATACAGAGACATTGTCTCAGGGTCAGCAGCAACCCTCATTGGGAGTCTTTCGTTGCCATGCAGGGCATCTGTTAAAAACTTTAACATCACACCGTCTTTTTAACAAAAATGTAACAAATAATAAATTTAGTAATAAATTTAGTATCATCTTAAGGGTTTTACCCAAATATTTAGTAGATTGACTCATGTACACCTGGTAGTTCTGTGATGTAGCCCGAATGTGTCTTTTTACTTATATACTTTTTATAAAGGATTTTTAAATAAAACTTTTGTTATTTATGGTATATAGCCAACTACAGGAATTTCATTTTCCTTGTGGATATTAAATGTATGAGTAAAGTTGAATAGGCCACTCATAAATCATAATACTGAATTCAATTAACCGAAATTATAAAATTGGAAATACTTTATTTGATATTTCAAAATAACTTAACGGGTCATTAAATTAACTAAGTAGTTCTAATTTTATATTTATGTGTATCTAAAAAATACAAAATATTAAAAAGAAATTTTAAAGCACAATAGTAAAATTTGTTTGTTGTTTTAAAATAAAGTAACAAACATTTGAATAAAGTAGTTCTACTTTTAAATTTGTGTTTAATTCACAATTTATAGTAATTACCAAATTAAAGTGTCGGTTTAAAAGAAAATAGTATTAGAACAACATAAAAAAACTTTTTCTCATTTTGATTTAATATTTATCTTGATTTTATTATTCCAGAAATGTTTTGAATGCGGAACACTTAATCCACAATGGGTATCAGTCACATATGGAATATGGATTTGTTTAGAATGTTCTGGGAAACACCGTGGATTAGGAGTCCATTTATCATTTGTACGATCTGTTACTATGGATAAATGGAAGGATATAGAACTGGAAAAAATGAAACTAGGAGGTAACAGAAATGCTCGGATATTTTTTGAAGCACAACCAGACTGGCACGACGATATGACACTACAACAAAAATACAATTCTAAAGCTGCAGCTCTTTACAGGGATAAGGTAATTATATATGATTAGTATAATCGTGGCCTGAAAAGTTCTTGCACTCACAATTTCCGATAAACAACAATGATATCAAAGAAGTTTTATTATCTAACATAATCGTCTTTAATATTAATTCATTTCGTCCAGTTACGTTCCATTCTCATTATCTCTTCTCTATAGTGTTTCTCTGAAAGTGTTACACAGCTCTCATCTACAGACGCAATGGCTTTTTGGGAGGACATAAGCACTGATCAGTAGGGAAGATCTTCAGTTTTGAGAATAGAATATAGGAATCCGATGGAGCCTCTGGGGTTCCAGGTGGTTGTTCCAGAACTCCATAGTGCACATCACTCAAATTTCAGACCAAGAGGACAGATGACCTAAGTAAATAAAAATTGCTGTTTTTCTTCTTTAAGGCTTATCCTCGAAAATTGTAATGGTAAAATTCAGAGGGATATCTATTTCAAAAATATCGTTCTTTACGAAAACAAAATCCATTCACGAAGAATATTCTAAACGTCATCTTGTACTAGAGGTTAGCTTTATACCTACTTTATACAACCCCCTATTGTGAAAAGTCTTGGGTCTATACAATAAAGCGGGCGGCCTTCTATTCAGTGCGGTTTTGGGGTAATTATAAAAATACGAGTATACCAGAGTAATATTATTTATTGAATAATTATTACACAACTTAGCAAGGGAACATACAGGTAATAAATAATTGTCCTGTAAATCATAACAATCAAATCGAAGACAAACTTTTATAAAATTTTATTACAAAATAATGTATAACAAGATAAATTGAGGTCACATTATTTATTTTTTATGTCTTATATTTTCTTTTTTTACTGACAAATTGGGTTTTTAACGTAGATTACAGTTTGATGATAAATATTCTGAAATGTTATTATTGATATTAGTAGTGCGATTTATATAATTAGTACTTGAAACCCAAATCGCGGGAGGAATATTTGCATCAGTTTTCAAATATTTATTATTTACTATATAATTTCTAAATTGAACCACTTTCACTTCTTTAGGCAACAATGTATCTGTTTTGACAACTAAATAGGTAATTAGACAAAATAATTATTAATTTCAAAACAGGAGTTTAAAGAATTAGAAGGAGGTAGTCCGGGCCCAGTTGAACGGTCAAGCTTATTCCAGTGGAAGCAATAAGGAGGATTATTTTTCGAAAGAAAATGCAAAAAAGTATTTTTGAAGTGTGTATATTTTAGGCAATTCCTAGCTGAGCGCTTTCGGCTTTACAAAGCCATCATCAGAGCTATGGTCAATTTTTTAAATACCACTACAAAGGAGAGATCTCATTTCCTTAAGTTTCACAATTATGATTTTGTAGGAGTTGGAATTTTTAAAACATATAAAAAAAACATATAAAAGGTCGACACTGGACGTCACAAACACGTTAAAAAATTGAAAAATTTTTTTGTCATGGTACGGGTTTAAGACCCGACCATCTATTGATGTGAGGATGTAGACTGAATCAGTCCCATTCTTTAAAATGGCGTCAATGAGGATCCTTAATTAGTATAATCAAATTAGCTGTGAATTAACAAAAAAACATGGCTAACTTTGGCCCAAATTTACCTAGGTCAATTTTTTTTTTGAAAATTCGGGTGAAAATACTAACTTTTCGAATGTAAAAAAAGATTTTTTCTAAGGACAATGTTTTTAAAGTTATTTTAAAAGTTTATAAACCACATAATTTCAAAAATTTGGCATCAAGATTTTTGACTATACTAAATCATTTTTTTTTATCTTTTTTTAATACATATTGATAGTATAAGTCTATTGCTTTCATTTGTTACCCACAGCATTACCCTATCTTTATTATTTTCTGTCTTATGTTGTTGTAAAAAAAGATCTCTGGGATAAACAAATACAGTAACTTTTAAACTAATTAATATATTGGTCCCAAATTTTAAGGGTTTGTTAAGTACCCCAATACTCAACCTTGGGTGGAACTCTAAAGTTTAAATTTTAAGTTTACTAAAAGTTTTTAACAAATATCAATTGTCACTTATTTTGCAGTTTGCAAAGCAATAAATTGATTTTTCAACTTACAAATATCGGCATTTTGAAGCTTTGTCGATATTCTAAAAAATAAAATTTTGTAATTTTATGTCCTAATTTTTGTATTAGAAAGCTAAAAGTATCTAGCTTTCTAATGGAGTGCAAAAAATCGAAAGAATCGCGTTTTTTGCATTAAATTGTTAATCATTAAAGAACGGCTCCGAACTTTAGGCAGGAAACAGGTAGGTTTTCTTCTTATAGGTCTACAATAACTAAAAAAGTTGTCAGCTACCTGGATTATTGAGTGTCACGAGAAAATCCTTATTACCCTGGACTAATATGACTGGACAAGCAAGTGAAGAAACAAACTTCATATATTATGTAAACTTTACTAACAAAAAACGTTCAAAATAAATATTCCAATAAATATAAATAATCAAATTTCATATTCAAATACTGCAAAATATTTATTATCACTGCTTACTGCTTATTTATATAAAATTTCCTCAATCGGAACATAAACGTCTTCGTGAACTACCCATTTTAAAAACAATTAAACACACTGGTTTGTCAAAAGTCGGAATAAACTCTAATAATGTTATTCAACATTATTTCTGACCCACCCTCGAGAGGGTATTATACTTCTTACCTAACCAAACTAACCGTTGGCGAGAATCCAGAAACTATCTACAAGGACAGCCTGTACTGACAGAGAGAGTTACATTTAGCAAAATTTGAGATTTTTAAAAAAGTTTATACCAAATAGCTGCTTTGTGTTACACTTTATGTTAAAAATAAAAACAGATTCGGAAAGTGGGGTCAAATTCTGTAGTGCCCTATTTAAAAAAAAATTTACGTTTATTTTAACCAAAAACATTTGACAAAAAAAATTGTTTAAACAATTTATTAATTTACAACCAAATAGTGCACTAGAACGTTTTAAGACCTTTCATATAAAAAAGAATCATCCCAATATCTGCCATAGTTTTTGCGTTATTAGATATAAACTTTTACATTGGAATTTAGCTATGCCCAGAATCGCGTGGAACGGCCTTAAGCCTGGTCTGTTTTCACGACTGCTTGTGTGCATTACAAGTTAAAAGTAGTATTCTTTAGTCATAGTTTTACTTTTTCAAAATTTGCCTGTTGCTCCATTGTACCAGCTGCCTAGTTGCTTTTGCGTCTTTTAATCTTTGGACATGTGCAGCCATGTGAGTCCTTGACTTTTTTCAAATCATAAAATATCTTTTATTCAATTCACTAATCTCATTGTTTCTTCTTATTCTCCATATACCATAAATATCGCACTGAGTTGTTTTTTATATTTTCTGTAATAACCCATGTCTCACGTCAGTAGGTGTTACGGGTCTAATTAGAGTTCTGTAAATGATTTTTTTGTTTCTATCTAATAATTTGGATATCAGCAATCTTTTATTGGCATAGCTTTTTTTAAGAATTTATTCTTTAATAGATTGCGCCATGATATTAGAGTAATATCAAATTTAATTTAATATAAAAAGCTGTGCATAAATTACTGTTGCAACCCTACAAGGTATTTGAATTTATGAATTCAAATATTTCTGTATTGAATAGAAATTTCTCTAATTTTTTTTTTTTTTGATATATATTTCGCTATGCGTATATGTATCTGTATATAAGTATATATAATTTTTAAAGTAAATATTAGTATGGATTGTGCGTAGTTTCCATAGCGATACATGCATTTATTTCTTTTCTTATGGAATTTTATTCTCAGAATATTCTATAGTTCTTGCATTGAGTCTTACCTCCTTATATTATATATATATATATATATATATATATATATATATATATATATATATGATATATATATATATATATAGGTATGTATATATATATATGTATATATCTATATATGTATATATAATATATATATATATATATATAATATATATTATATATATATTATATATATATATATATATATTATATATATATTTGTAGTCTTATTTGAATTTCGCGCCATTGACAGATCTGATTGTCACTCAATTTGAAAAAAAGAAGATAACCACACACTTTATGTTTAGACTTGACACTTGTGATTATGAATTATGGCCATCTGAATGTTATGAAAACTATTATGTCGAATTATGTACAATTAGTGTTTCTTTCCGCTAAATAAACTTAAGAAAACTAGAACAATATTATTTATTAACGGAGCCTACAGAATCAGAAGTGGGATTACGTGGATCGCCGATATTTTTGCAGATTTAAAAATTGTGTTTAGTATTGACGATAGCCATGCCGGGATCAGACACCGAAATTGAAAATACAAGTGGAAACACCGTCGCTCAGGCGAGTATAGCTGAAATTGTTCATACAGCGGTACAGGCAATCCTCGATTATGAAGAGAAAAAGAAAATTGCCGGTCCAGAAAATCAGATGCCGACACATAACCCCATAAAAATTACTAACAGTGAATTATCAAATTTAATGCCGGAATTTTCAGGCACAGACAAAAGCCAGAATGTTGCAATATGGTTAGAAAGAATAGAAAAAATCAAAACTGTGTATAATGTTCCAACTGATATTTTACAACTGTTAGTCATTGGAAAATTGACCGGAAAAGCGAAGGAATGGTACCTCAGCAAACCAAATTTAATTTCCACAGATTGGACAGGTTTAAAAAATGAAATTAGGAGAATGTATGGGAGAACTTATGATCCAGTGTCGTCGAGAAGAAAGATGGAGACTAGAAGGTGGAAAAAGAGTGAAAGCTTTTCAGCATATTTCCATGACAAACTGTTACTGGGCAACGAAGCAGGAGTTGAGGATGAAGATATGATACATTATCTGATTGATGGGTTTGATGATCGCCTACTTCAAAATCAAGCCAAAATGATGTTATCCACACTCAATAGCACTGAAGATTTATATAAGTTAATGGGGAGTGTTGTTAAAGATGAGGTATCAGGAAGTGGACAAAGGTTTGCTACAGC